ATAGAATAAAATTAAATCTGGAATCATTAAATTATGTACAATAAATACTAGCATCTAAAATAAACAATATTCACAAGAAGAAGAATAAAAGTTATATTTTCAAACGTTAATATTTATTTTAATAATAATGTAATCGATGTATTCCACATTACCTGCATGTCGTCATATGACAAATAAAGTCTTTCCGTAGCAATAAACAAGTTTGAAATAGCAATTAATCTGCATAATATTGTTCATGCAACATTATTAAAAGCGTCTGTGCAATATAAGCATTAAAAAAACTTACCTTCAGTTTGTAAGAACACTTTTCAAAAAAAGCTGCCGGATCTCCTGATGTAACGAAAATGAATAAATGTTAATTGTAGCAAAACGGTTGGTCGGACCGAGTTCATTGCTTGTTATGACATGTTTGATAACAGTTGCAATAACTTTCAGCAATTGCCGCCAGATTGCAATGCTTTGTTTAAAAAATAAGTCACTATTCCATATTAGTAGCCTATGCCATAATCCCTGATTTTACCCTATGTTCGTAAATTTTTAGAAATTTTTTAAAATTATTGTAAAAGGTGAAAAAATAGACGTGTTCGAGATATCTGGACTTGTACAGTTCGCGCAATTAATATCTTTTACTCCTGTTTAGACATTGTGCTGAAGTTATCTTCTCGGCCGTAGTCAGACAGAATTGTTCGATGAGGCAGCAGACCTGTTCTTTTTGGCTGAACTTTTGCATCAGTTCATCTTTCTTCCTTTTCTCTCCAGGAGGAAAGAAGAGGAAAAAAAATGAACTGATCTATCATCTAACAGGCCTATCATTTTGTGCCATTTAACAGTAATATCGGCTGTAAACCAACGCGATGTTCGTCGCGTGCGACATGTAATAATGAGCGTATAGCTTTAGACTTTAGAAGAACATCGGTAAAGCTGTATGTATGTACGCTCATTGGATATCGCATGTCGCGCGCGGCAAACATCGCACTGGTCTGCAGCCGGTATCAGAGTTAAACTTTTTATCGCATTTTTGCTAAACTTCAAATATACATATATCTATTACATTTTAAATGAATAAGTGTTACTAATATAAAAAGTATAGTTCAGTCACAAAGAAGGTCTAAAAGACGAACTTATCAAGTGCTTGAAAAACAATCTCCTCAATCTTATCAGAAGTATACGATGTCTCGTGCATGCAAATACATGCGTCAGCATTTAAGACTTAAGGGTTTCGACACAAACGATTCTTTAAGAGTCGACAGGAAAGACTATGGAAGCCTTTAGTCGCGGAGACAAATTTCTTCCTATTGAAATTACGGTTAAAATACTGCGTGAATAACGTTTTAATTGCGATACTCATAATCAGGTAAGTCACGTGAAGAAGGTTTGTTTGTACAGAGTAATTTTTTTTTAGAAAAAAGGCAAAATAAAAATTCGTTCTGATATCTCATCCGATACTAAGGCAGTTGAGATGCACATAATTAATAATGTATTATATAATAAGTTAAAATATATAATGTATTATAACTTTTTAAGAATCAATTTGCAAAATCCGACTCTGTACGCGTCTTTGTAGCTTCATAAAAAAAGAAACCAGAAAGATTTCTGACGTAATATTACTTCTCCGAAATAGAATATCATGAAAATATGTATCTGCATTATGAAAAGGGAGCATATCGTTTTAATATTATGTTTTTTAGAGCGGAATTGCAAAATTTGACTCTTTAACAGACTTCGTAATTTCGTGAAATATAAGTGTAAGAAAGTTTCTTCTTTTTTTTTCTCTTTTATTGATCCTGCAGCCGAATTTGGCTGAAACTAAGCCACTGATGTTCAAAGGTCGAAAAATACAGTAATTGAGGGAACCACACGAAGTGATAAATTCTAATTTTAATGAAACTTTGTATATACATATAGATTATATAAAAAGATGAATTTAGAAAATGACTGTTACGGCAAAAAAAAACCAGTTTTAAGGGATAAAATTATCCCTTATGTGGTAAAACAATTTTCAGTTTTTTCCGTTATATCTCGAAAATTATTGGAGATATCAATAAATGTTTTATACAAAAGCATTGCAACAAAATTACTTTTACTCATTTACGTCAATAATATTTTTATTAAACGATTTTTTTAATTAAAAAAATTTTATTTTTCAAATATATTATTGACGTGGATGAACAGAATTTTATTGTAAAAATTTTATATATAAAGCATTTTGAATATCTCGAATAGTTTTTAAGGTATAACGAAAAAAGCTAAAATCCGCGTTATCTATAAGGGATGATTTTCCTTCAAACTGTTTTTCCACCACAATTAACATTTTATAAATTCATCTTTTTATATAACTTATATGTATACAAAGTTTTATTAATATCAGTATTTAACATTTTGTGTGGCTCCCTTGTAACTTGTAAAAAAGGTATACAATGCAGGTCGCACAATCGAGAAAAATGGCACTGATTTTCCAGGTACTGGACCTATGACGCTTTCACGCCGCACGGACGCGCATGGCGCATGTCCAATCCAGTCTTCTTTCTAACGAACAGTAAGGGCACTTATGCCCAATTTTTTCACTTCCAGATAAATTGCGGATAACCTTATCCAGGAGATCTCCATTGTATTCTGGAAAATATCTCTAGGATAAAGTTATCTAGAGGTAAAGAAATTGGGCATTAGGCCGGAATCCATAGTCCGATCTTAAGCGGGGAGCACAGACTCTTGCATAATGCATAACACGTAATGCATAAGAATATGTAACCAATCAAAGTTCTCCGTTTCTTTCCCTTCCATGTAATAGAGAACTCTGGTTGGTTCAATTTCTTATGCCTCTTGCATAACGTATAAAACATAAGGCATAAGCAAATCAACCAATCAGAGTCCTTTATTTCGTGGAAAGGAAGGAAATAAAGGATTTTGATTGGTTTATTTTCTTATGTATTGTGTGTGTTATGCGTTATGCAAGAGTCTGTGCTCCCCGTCTTAATTTCAAACAATGTCTTAAGATGCTAGTACGGCTCTCTGATTGGTTCAAACACTAACTTGAAACTATCTCGAGTCTTGAGCAACGTCTATGGATTCCGTACTTAGGGCAGATTGTTCCACTTTTTGGTAAATTTTTCCCGTTACGTAAGTAGCAAGATTACCCAATCACATGCGCAGATTACCAAATTTACCTCATAGGTAAAATTTATTAAAAGGTGGAACAACCGACTTAAAGCCAATCAGCATTTTAGGCACATGCATTGGCGTCACTCTCTTTATACCTACTCTAAATCTGAACATAGCTCTAGGTTAGCATAATTTCCTCGTAGTTCCGCGCATTTCGAGCCATCATGGCAGACTTCCTTTTTCGCAATGAGGACGCTGAAGGGAACGCTAAGATGCTACGAATAATATATCCACAATCCGACTTTATATTTAAAATCTTTAATCTGTTCGTGGGTAATTTTAGCTCAGATAGTTCAAAATCAAGACGTAAAACGTTTAAAAATACTATTTAAAATATTAAAATATCTTTTAAACGTAGTATCCGAAAGATGGTAGAACATCGAAAAATTTCGAGCGTTTCGATATGCATATTTGGAATCTTGGAAAGAATCTGGAAAGAAGCCAGCCAATGAAATGATTTTTAATCTTAAGTTTGATTTTGAAACTTATTCTATAATGTGCTTTTTGTTTCTTGTTTCTTGGGAAACAGGAAACAAAAGCGTTTCCCTCTTTTTTTCCTTTTTACGGCCAACAATTTTATGTCTCGCCACGTGTTTGTTGTTTCTTTCGAAGTTCATTAACTTTTATCCCGTACAACAAAAAATGAAAAATAATATAAAAAGAAAAAAATTAGTAAAAAATAGAAAAATGTAAGAAACAAGACACAAAAAGTACATATGTAGAATAAGCTTAAGAGATCGAGCTTTGAATACCGTCCTACGTCGTCAGTTTCCCATTAAGGATTAATAACCTTTATCGTCGTGTAGTTGTACTTACTCTGTTGCTCCCCTTAGATAAACACTAGCCTCCGAAAGAATCAATGGATGGAATACTCTTTTTCGCCTTTTTCTGATAATGGAACTCTATTTACGAGAACTAATGTCACGATTTAGAACATTTATACAAAATTAATTTATTCAACACTTTTTTCTGATTGCGACTTCCTTTGGATAGCCAGAACAGCCATAAAAACAGAGCAACCCTTTCATCGTCCTCCTATTAGGTACTTACTAAACAGTGATGAGATCTGTTTTCTGTGTTGACCCAGTGTACACTTTTAGAACTTAAAGTGAAATAGTTATACGTTTGATGTTTATCGAAAGTGAGAAAGAGAATTCTAGAACAGTCTACTGCAGAAAACAGACCAATGATATACGGGCCACTTTTCTAGCGCATGCGTGGCACATACTGCTTCGGTAACGTATCTTGAGGCGTGTTCAGATTCCCATCTAGGTGCTCCCCAGGTGTCATGTCATCCTTGACTCTATTGTACGATAAACAATAAGGATGGAGTAATACTTGGGTGACACTCGAGTAGGAATCTGAACTCAGCATAAAGCCTTGTGTCCACGATGTTAGAAATCGGTCCGAGACCTCGGATGAAGAAAAAATTGACCAATCGCAATGGTCATATGATCAAATTGTTCAAATGTGATTTGTTAATTTTTTCTCTGTCCGAGATCTCGGACCGATTAGAATATACAACAGGTGTAGAGTGTACAACAGAAATTCTAATCAGCAATTGGTTGCATTAGTTCCGCATTTTTCTAATCTTATACACAAGGCTTAAAGGGTGTATTTCGAACCGGGTTAGGCTAGTTTATTTTTTCCCCTAGGTATTGGCAGTTCCGTAACTAAACCAAGAAGTGTTCCGAACTCGTCGGCTGTCATAACCTGTAGCCAATAGAAGCCAGTAGCTGAGTTTTGGCTCCCGCGGTAACGCCGGTAACCAATGAACACATTAGGAGTTGTAAGCTTATTGGCTAACCATGGGCTTTCAGAATTGCGTATTGTAAATAAAAAATAACGTATTCGAGTAAATTACTAGAATACGCAGGTTACGCCGCATGTGACGGCACCCTTACACAAAACTGACGCAAGGTTACGAAGGATGGCATAAGGCCATGTCCTTTAGGTTAGGATTAAGTTCCGTATTCTTGTATGCATTGATGTACGTTGCGTTTTAATCAATTCTAACCTAAACAGCCTCCAGTTCGTCATCTTTTCTTCGGCCACGATAATTCTTAAAAGAACAGTAAAGCTAAACAAAACGAGAAAAAAGGATTTATGAGAATTCGCGACAGCTTCGGACGATGCGACTCGTGATAGCGATGAGTTCTAAGTTGCCGGTGATTCTACGGCAGCGCAATGCGACCACGCGTTTATTTCGTGGAAACCGGTCACCTTCGGATTATCAAACACCGTTGCCGATTTACGCCAGACAGACACGAACAGAATGCCCGGGTTATAAGTCGGGATTATTTAGGACCACTCGGATTCATCCCGCATTGACATCAGTGAGGTTCTTCTCGACGAAAAGATCTTCGGATCGAGACCCTCCGAGGTAAATTTAATAAGTATATCTATGGCTCCCAGAAAGAGAGAGAGGGAGAGAGAATTAAAATTAAAAATAAAATCAACAAAGGGCGATGTGCCAGGTAGTTATGTTTTCTTGAAAAAACAAAGTGTATTAGTTTAGGGAACGTTTCTTGAACACTGCAAATTGTCGTATACAAAAATCATGGTGTCTGGTTGTAATAGATGTAAAAAGTGTATATACAGGTTGTCTGTCATTTACTTTCAATCAATTTGATTAGATAAGTAAGAAATATATATCGGCTCCTTTTTTGCTAGCAAATTTCAAAGGAAAGCAACCAAGAAGGAAGGATACTCATTGTAATATAATACACGTTTTATCAGTTAATTTACTAATATACAGAATAATATTTTCGACCTTTACTTGGTCTTTATCAGTTTTTATACGTAACAAATTAAAATTTAAAAAATATTCTACATATAATTTGTTATATTTCTTTAGTTGTCATTTTTGAAATTACTACGAAGGAACCAGCTATAAATATTATTTTATCAATCATCAAAAATAACTAACTTTGTGAAGATCATCAAAGCGTTACAATTTAGACAGTGATTTTTTTAAGGATTGTGAAATGAAATGACATTTGATTATGTTAAGAATCATTTTTTTTTTCTTTAATCAAATAATTTTCTGTCAAGTTGAAAAATAGTTTTTTTCTTTTTATGGAAATCTTAATTTTCTTTCAATTAAGGAAACAATATCTTATAAATATATTAACTATAAGTACCTAAAATATATTGTATCTGACTTCTGAGAATATATAGGTTTTTATTTTATATATGTATTGTTTAGTGATGGGAATGGAGAACAATCTGGAGATTATCCTGCCTCACTGCCTGCAACTGTGGTGGTGCCTGAAGTATGGCCTCATGTACCAGTCATTGCTATCAATAGAAATCCAGTATTTCCCAGATTTATTAAATTAATTGAGATTGGTAATCCAGTTCTGATCGATCTAATACGTAGAAAGATAAAGCTAAATCAGCCTTACGTGGGAGTTTTCTTGAAGAAATCTGAAGAGTAAGTTCCTTTAAATCATTCTCTAGCATTAATTTATATTGACATAAATGATGTCAAAATTAATAATTATGTGAATGATATATGTAGTGTAAATAATTTCAGTTCTAATATGTCATTTATTCATACAGAAATGAAGCTGATGTCGTTCAAAGTTTAGATGATATTTATCCAATTGGAACTTTTGCACAAGTACATGAGGTACAAGATTTAGGAAATCGATTGAGATTAGTGGTTATGGCACACAGAAGAATAAAAATCGTTAATCAAATTTTTGAGGATGCCAATCCAAAAGTAGAACACGGTACGAAAAATATATTTAATTATTGTATTTTCATATTGCAACAAAGTCGCATTTTATAGAAATTTAATGTTTTGTTAATTGATAAAAATTTTCTTGTTTAAATTGACGTGGCCATGTTCTTTGATTATTTTGCTTAAATATTGTCCTGCCTACTTTATACAGAGATGAAACTGACATTTCCACTATTAAATACTACAATTACCGTTCCTGTAGACGACACAATGACCAGTAACAAGGTTAACCGGAGATCATTGCGTAAAAAAGGAGAGAATAGAATTGCAGAACGAACTGAGAGAATAGAAAAGGTCAGTGAAACAAGCTCTACGGAAATAAAACCGCAAGTACACGCGCCTGAGAAGAATACGGAAAAACCATTAGTTTCATCAATTCCTCAGCCTGATAGTCAACCTATATTAATGGTGGAAGTTGTAAATGTCACACATGAAAAGTTTAAACAAACTGAGGAGATTAAGGTAATATACAAAATGATAAAAAATTTTCGCAATATTGTGAAAATAGTATCATTTTTACATTTTGTTTAATTTAATTGATGAGCAATTTTCTCCATTTACCTTGTGTATATAAATGCTAAATAAAACAATGGAACAATAAAAAATTAATAAAAGAATGATAATGTTTGCTGAAGTTTATCTTGTCTTTCTTACGCAATATTTTCTTTTTGACAAAAAAAGATTTTTGTTTTGCGAAAAAAATTGGTTACATTATTTTGAAAACAGTTAACTTTGAATGTTATATATAATGTTATTACAATACCAGAAACTATATCATCAGAAATATTTTTTGAACAGGCACTGACACAGGAACTCATTAAAACAATCCGAGACATAATCAGCATGAATCCTTTGTATCGCGAATCTTTACAACAAATGCTGCATCAGGGACAAAGAGTTGTGGATAATCCTGTTTACCTCAGTGATTTAGGTGCTGCCTTAACTGGAGCAGATGCACAGGAATTGCAACAAGTTTTAGAAGAAATGGATGTGAGTTGATATTACAGCGTGTGTATACAATTTCTATACATGTTTATAGAAAATGTTAAAATAACATTTTATTTATAGATTCTAAAAAGATTGAGATTGTCACTTGCACTTTTGAAAAAGGAATATGAATTAAGCAAGTTGCAACAGAAAATTGGTAAAGAGGTTGAAGAGAAAGTAAAACAACAACATAGAAAATATATTCTTCATGAACAACTCAAAGTTATTAAGAAAGAATTAGGATTGGAAAAGGATGATAAAGATGCGATAGAAGAAAAATATAGAGAAAAAATAAGACAAAAGACAGTTCCTAAACCAGTTATGGATGTGTTGGAGGAGGAATTGAATAAACTTTCCTTTTTAGAAAGTCATAGTAGCGAATTCAAGTGTGTATTAAATATAATAAGTATGTGTATTGTATATGTTGATGATTTATGTAAATTTTATATAAATTTTGTATTTTTTAGTGTTACAAGAAATTATCTCGATTGGCTTACGTCTATGCCATGGGGTGTGACAAGTACAGAAAACTTAAATCTTCAAGATGCCGTCAAAATTTTGGATGAGGATCACTATGGAATGGATGATATAAAAAAAAGAATACTTGGTATACAAATGCACTTTTGTATACCAATATTTATATCTACTTATATATTATTTAAGTATAATCATGTTTTTTATTGAACATTTGTTTTTTCATTATTACAGAATTTATTGCTGTTAGTCAACTAAAGGGCAGTACTCAAGGAAAAATATTATGTTTCTATGGGCCTCCCGGGGTTGGCAAGACCTCGATAGCTAAATCAATTGCTCGTGCTTTGAATAGAGAATATTTTAGGTTTAGTGTCGGCGGAATGACGGATGTGGCAGAGATCAAAGGACACAGGAGAACATATGTGGGAGCCATGCCAGGCAAAGTCATTCAATGCTTGAAAAAGACCAAAACTGAGAATCCATTGATTTTGATAGATGAAGTCGACAAGATTGGCAAGTATGTAATTTGTGTAAACATATAAAAAAATAGATAAATATTTTCTTAAGATAGAAAATATCTCCAATATATTTAAATATATTTAGAGAATATTTGAACCATTTAAAATTATTTGGCATTTTCATAATATTTTTGGTAAATGAGTTCTCTCTCTCTCCCCCCCCCCCCCCCCCCCCC